ATCATCATCATCATCATCATCATCACCACCACCACCACCACCACCACCATCATCATCATCATCATCATCATCATCATCATCACCGTCATCATCATCGTCATCACAATCAACCTCGTGTCAATTAGCACTCATACCTCGAACCCTCGATACCCGCCCCCTTTGTCTTCGATCGTGACCCTCCTTGAGGGCATATCTTCCTTACCTGCCACGTTTAGTTGGCACGGCCCCTAAGACAGAAGGAAAGGGATAGGAAATAAGAGAAAACAAGGAGGAAAGGAGTGCGAGAAGGGAGGGAGGAGGAAGGGGCAGGGGAGAGGGAGAAGGATGGACCACGAGAGGGATTAGCAGTAGATCGGCATGAAGCAGAAAAACAAGCGGCAAAACCAAACGGGCGGGTCGGGCGGGCAGATCCTAACGGGCGGGTCGGGCGGACAGACCCAGACGGGCGTGTCAGGCGGGCGAGTCGCTGAAGCGTGAGTCCTGCATGAATCGCTGGAAAACCTTTCAAAATAGCGCGATCTCCCAATAAATCGTAAGGAAGTCCACAGCGAGAGCGTGATTCCTGAGGCTCAAAGGCGCGGCGTCTCAGTAAATTGCAAAGACGTGCCACGCGAGAGCACGATTCATATTCAGTGTAGGGACATCCCGCGCGAGAGCGCGATCGTTGAAATCATCTTGGCGATGGAACCAACCATATGCAGTTGTGAGTATCGCAGTTGTGGGTATCGCCTTTCGTTGATCTCCGAATAGGGCCACGAAGCGTGTGCAGGGTGTGCCAGAATCGGGCGGGGCCGCCATGCGGGCGCTGCAAATGGTGCGTTAGGTGTACCCTCCCCCCTTTTTTATGGTGCCACGAAGCGTGTGCTGTGTATGCCGAAATGGGGCGGTGCCGCCATGCGAACGACGCCACCGGGGCATTCGATGGAGCCCCCATTATGGGGCCACGAAACGTGTAAGGGGTGTGCCGACATGGGCGGGGGGAGCACGCATGCCAACGTCGCCACCGCGGCCTTCGGTGGAGCTCCCTGTGGGACCACGAAACGCTGTACTGGGTGGGGCGGACGCATGCGAACGTCGCCACCGAGCTCCCCATGGGGCCACGGCGGGGCGGACGCATGCGAACATCGCCATTGAATCCTTCGGTGGGGCTTCGTATGGTGCCACGAATCGCTGTACTGGGTGGGGCGGACGCATGCGCACGTCGCCACTGAGGCCTTCAGTGGAGCTCCCTCTGGGGCCACAGTTCGCTGAACTTGGCGCGGCGGACGAATACGAACGTCGCCACCAGGGCATTCGGTGGAGCTCCCTGTGGGACCACGAAACGCTGTACCGGGTGGGGCGGACGGGCGGGGCGGACTCATGCGAACGTCGCCACCGCGGCCTTCGGTGGAGCTCCCTATGGGGCTCCGAAACACTGTACTGGGTGGGGCAAATTCATGCGAACTTCGCCACCGGGGCCTTCGGTGGAGCTCCCTGTGGGGCCACGAATCGCTGCACTGGGTGGGGCGGACGCATGCGAACGTCGCCACTGAGGCCTTTTGTGGAGCTCCCCAGCGCAATTCCTAAATAAATCGTGAGGAAGTCCACAGCGAGAGCGTGATTCTTGTGTGTCGAGGGCGCGGCGTTTCAATAAATTGCAAGGAAATCCCACGCCTGAGCGCGATTCCATAATAAACTGTGAAGAAGTCCCAGGCGAGAGCGCGATATTGGATATATTGGCCAGAAATATCAAGCGCGAGCCGCTGCTGATGTAAACCAAAAGCCAGGGGCACAATCAGAACCTCAAGACTTCCCTTCTGTAAAAAACGAGATGCGAGCCTCGGGAGGGGCGATTCATATGAACAACCATATGGTGCAACGACGGGGGATCAATAATAAAACAAAAAGCACGACAACTACAGCAGCGGCAACAACAACGACAATAGCAACAGCAACAACAACAACAACAACAACAATCACTTTCATATTGTTCGGTCTTATCTGCTCGTGGCCCATTCAACACGTATATCCAAAACTCTCGATACCCGCCATCTTCGTATTCGATCGTACCCCCATTACGGGGGATACCTTTCTTACCTGCAATGTGCACTTCGTCCCCTAAGGCAGGGGAAGAAAAGACGGACGGAAAGAAGAGACAAACGGGAGGGAGGAGGATGGATCACGGGATTAGCAGGAGGGGGGCTAGGAGCAAAAAACACATGGCAGAACCAGGCGGGCGGGTAGACTCTAACGGGCGGGTCGGGAAGGCGGGCCCAAGCGGCCAGAACGAGCAGGCGGCTTGTAAGCATGATTACTGCATGAATCGCGAATAAATCTCGAGCGATAGCGCGGTTCCCGAGTAAATCGTGAGGGGACCCAAAACGAGAGCGTGATTCCTGAGTGTCGAGGGCGCGGCGTCTGAATAGATGCGGCGGGAGTCCCACGCAAGAGAGCGATTCCTGCAAAAATTGTGCCGACGTCCCGCGCGAGAGCGCGATTCGGGAATCAATTGCGAGGCGGT